GGGAAGCATGATATACACCAATACATACAATTGCACACACACATTTTTTTAAATTGCGAGTGTAAAAGCTGTAAGTCAAGATTGATTGTGGAGAGGTTTGACTATTGTGTGCTTAATTCATAAGGTGGACATGGTACATTTACAGCTTGGGTCTTTTTATCTCTCTGTTCAGATATAGCAACTTTTGGCAAACAGTCCAGAACATTTTTGCCCTAAGGCATGTTCATGGATAGCAAAGGAAAAATAGGGCAGTAAAATAATAAGCTTTTGTTCTTAATGATTGGATTTTTAAGTTGGGAAATTAAGGCACATTAACCACATATGGTGGGTAACAACGATTCTTGTGTAAAGTATCTTGGAATCCTTCTTTGCAATATCTTTGAAAAAAGAAAGTCCTCTGCTTTTTCCTATAAGCTATGAGGAATGGGTTACAAGTGAGTGAAACCAAAATTATAATAAATCTCATTATAATAATATAGAGATAATTCAGCGTGAGAAAATAGGTGCTTGTCTCTTCATTCAGGGCAAGTTTCATCTAGTACTGGGTGGAAGGAATGCTGATGAGGTTGCTTTCTGCTGTTGGTAAACTCTTTTAGGAAGCACAAGAGTGGAAAATATATTTAGGCTGAAATAGTCATCTTCGAGCAGATTCACCCCCCCATTTCTGATCTTCATTCATTTATTCACCGTCCATTCATTCATTTGTTGACTTTGGCCATAACTAACTGAGTGACTCTGGGAGCCTCGAATACTCACAGATCCAAGCCCTCATGGGATTACCAGTGAGTGTAAAACACAATCAAACAAGTAACACCGTTGTGGTGTAATGGGTACTGTGGAGGGCCAGCATTAAGGGACCTTCCTGTCCCTTCTGATGCAGCTCCAGCTATTGCTGCTACTGAGGGAGATGGAGGTATTGAATCCTCTGGCTCCTTCTCTCCTTTCTCTGACCCTTCTTGCCATTTATGAATTCCCCCTGGCCCAGATGAAATGGGAGCATCTATTTCCTAAGTCTTGAGCTCTTAAAAAATCATCCCCAGCTGTAGCTCTTCTCTTCCACATTCCAGCAGATTCTAACTGATCAGTCTCTCCCTCACCTCTCACAGGATCCCATAAATGTCATAGGTTTTAATTGGGCTTGAAGAATGGGAGAAGTTGAGTAGAAGTAGGTATATGACTTTGTTGCCAGGTTTAGGACCGAGGTGGCTGTGACTATAAGTCCCACTTGCAACTGGAATGTAATTTCTTAAATCCCTGTAAAGAAGGGTGGTTTCCAGAAATCCTGTTGGGATTTAATGTGAGCGTGTGCTGAATCTATAAAACAATTCAAATGCAAATGTATTTATTACCTTGAAATAGTTTGTCTTACAATCCATGAACATGGTATATGTTGATTTGAGTCTTCATTTAATAATGCTTAATAAGGTTTTATTTCTCCCTACTGGGTCTTAAGTTTCTTTAAGTTCATATGTATTTTGAGATTATTGATATTTAGTATTTGTCAAATACTTCTTGTACATATTTTAAAAATTATGTTTTAAGTTTAGTTTATTGTTCATATATGCAAAACCCCTCTCAAAAAATAATAAAGATAGCTTAGTCCCTTTATCCCAGAGACCCTTGATTTTATTTTATTATTATTTTTTAAGACTTTATTTATTTGCTAGAGAGAGAGAGAGAGAGCAAGAGAACAAGCAGGGGGAGCATCAGGCAGAGGGAGAAGCAGGCTCCCCACTGAGCAGGGAGCCAGATGCAGGACTCAACGCCAGGACCCTGGCATCATGACCTGAGCCGAAGGCAGCCACTTAACTGACTGAGCCACCCAGGTGTCCCAGAGACCCTTGATTTTAAATGACTATTGTATCTGTCATGATCTACTAGATAAATGAATATATATATATATATATATATATTTTTTTTTTTTTTAACCCCTCTCACCTTAGCAACCCTATTACTGGGATTTTATCCAACAGAAATAAAAAGCACTTGTTTTTTAGCATTATTTGGCCATGGGTAGTTACCCTAGCATTCATTGTGAGGGCAAAAACCTGGAAATAGAATGCTTATCAATGAGCATGAAAATGATTGAATGCATTGGGCAAACCGTACAAAGGAATGTCATGTAGCCATTAAACAGAAATGAATGAGAGCTATTCCAGTGGACATGAAAACATTCCCTTGAGATATTTATTGAGAAAGAAAAAGAAGAGGAGGAAAAGTATCTTCTATGATCCATTTTTTTATAAAAGTTCACCTCTGTGCATGTGCCTATGTACACATACACATGTTTTTCTAGTAATAAGAATTTAAAGAAAAATCTATACATGTAAAATAGAAAATACACCAAATTGTTCATGTGGGTGAGGGGGGCGATCGTGTGGCTGATGGGGGAGGTGGAGAGTAGAGCTGAGGTCTCTCACTACCTTTTTTTTTTTTTTTTTAAAGATTTTATTTATTTATTTGTCAGAGACAGAGGGAGAGAGAGCGAGCGAGCACAGGCAGACAGAGGCAGAGGGAGAAGCAGGCTCCCTGCCGAGCAAGGAGCCCGATGTGGGACTCGATCCCAGGACGCCGGGATCATGACCTGAGCCGAAGGCAGCCGCTTAACCAACTGAGCCACCCAGGCGTCCCTCTCACTACTTTTTTATGGGAATTTATAGGCCGGGCTGGGCACCTCATTTTTAAGATAATGTTGATTTAATGGGCAAAAAAATGTGTTCCAAAAGCTGAACCACAGGGCTCTGTATTAAGGGAGGCAGGTGGTTTAAATGGCAAACCCTAACTGGTCATTCACATCATTTTTATACTTTAGTGAAGTGGGCATTTGTGTTTCCTTCAAGGGCAGTCAACTGTTTCAGTTATGTTTTTACAAAAATAGTTGCATCTCCTCAGCTGAGTCCAGTAAGCCGCAGGGCGGGCAGGCAGGGAGTGAGCGTGCATACACACACACACACACACACACACACACACACGCACTCACACACTGGAGTGTCTGTGCCTGCAGGGGGAGCCAGCACTGGATTGTGGGGAATCTGGAAGAATCGCTAAAGTCACAGCAGGGGAAACTTTTGAGTTAGAAGAGACCAGGAGAGGGTTTCCTCCGCTTCACCACATCTCTAACAAAACGAGAGTGAGGACCAGAAAAGTGAGCTGACTTGGCCCAGGGTGCATACTTATTCAGAAGCCAGGTGGGGAACGTGGACCCCATGGTCTCCTGGATGTCACGTTCCAGTCTGTAAAGGAGCTGCGGCCACAGGCAGACCCGAGCCCTGCGTGTCTCCGGGCAGCTCTCGTTCAGCGTGCAGAAGGAGCTACTGAATGTAAGAGGTTTGCGAAGATCTAGCGCCTGGTGGCCAGGCAGCTGAGAGTATGTTTAAACATCCCCAGGATGCAAGGATCGGTTGCCTATCTGCCTGTATGCGGTTTCTGGCCCTTGATATAAGGGGGTAGACGTGTCCTCTGCTGGTTTGACACTGTGGCAAGGTGGACTGTCAGCCAGTAAATGCAGAAGGGAGGGCATGGTAGCAGGCCTGTGAGCTTGGAATCTAAAGTAACACTAAAATCCCTGTTGATGTGTAGCTGATAAACAATAATCGTGAACCGTACATATGAAGGATTTTGGTAAGAAGTGCGTAAAGGAAAACCCTTCTGATAGCACTAAGCAGATGCGAGCACACCGTTCCCTGAGGGAAAATGTGCTCCAGGGACAGGACCACGTCCCTGAGCTGAAGAATCACTTTGTTCTTTCCGCTGGGCTTAGTGAACTGGGTTATCCAGAGGGCCGGCGGTGATTTCCAGTTTACGTTTTGGCCAAATGTCGATTCTTCTTTACCAAGGATTTTAGATTGTTGTTTATCAAAGTGTCATTTTGCAATGTGAGACTTTTCTCGCTGTAATCCCTCCCCTCCTTGTGGAATAAAGGCTCAGGAACAGTCATCGGTTGCCAGTCAGGTGACTGTGCCAGGATGGGAGGCAAGGATTGGGAGACAAAGTAGGAGTTGACAGTCGGCGGGCGAGGCAGAGATGCACCTCTCAGGTTATTAGGACAGAGAGCATTTTGGGGGGAACATTGTGTGGAGGGCTTCCCGGAGTGTGCCAGGAGTGTGGGGTGGTGGGATCCATGAAGGCTTCTCAGAGGAGGTGACTGCTAGTCAGGATCTTGCAAGATGCATGTAGATCTCAGGCAGCCACGAGGGGAGCTGGGAGAAGACACCACAGCCAAGAGAAGCATAGAGCCCTGTGGTGTCTAAAGCCTGGCCAGCCTGGTGGGGGACAGGTGTGCCTGGGAGGTAGAGGGGGCGGGGGAGGGGCAGGGGTGCATAGAAACCAGGCTTGAGAAGCGGGCAGAGGAAGATTCTGAGAGACCTTGAGTGCCACTTCAGGGAGTTCACTTGTCCCACAGAGGATGGGGACCCACCTAACGAAGGCAGGGTTGCAGCCATGCATGTGTCATACGAGGTTGACAAGGCAACAGGTTCGGTGCTCTGGGGCAGGGAGCTTGGATCAACAAAACTGATCCCTTCACTAACTGGAAGGATAGACTGTTCTCTCTGTGTGTTTTGTTTTGTTTTTTTAAGATTTTATTTATTTATTTGAGAGAGAGCACGAGCAGGGGGAGGTACAGAGGGGCAAGCCGACTCCCTGCTGAGCAGGGAGCCCAAAGCAGGGCTCGAGCCCAGGACCCCAAGATCATGACCCCAGCCCAAGGCAGATGCTCAACTGAACCACCCAGGCACCCTGTCTTTGCGTGTTCTTAATTGACCTTGAGAAAAACCATGCACAGTCAATAAAAAAGCTCTGGGGGCCTTGGAGGGAAGGAGAGTCCAAAGTGGTCTACCAGGGCTCATGTAAGCAGTAGGAACATTAAATGTTAGAATTAGAAGGCTTTGAAATTTCAGGTTTTTTTGAAAAACAAAAAACAAAACACAACTTTAGAGACTAGGATTAGTTTATTGGAATTGGTCCCTTTTCTAGATTTATGATACTGTTTATCCTTCTAGGTGATACTCTCTGGAATCATAGGATTAACAACTTGGAAACGGCCTATGATACTTCTGGTATGTACTGATCTCATAAATTGTTACCCTTTGTAAAATGTGCTATGTGAGAAGTCTGTTGGAATCAACCACTGAAGAAAAACCGAAGCTTTCTTGTTCATTGAAAAAAGAAGCTCACAAGGGATACCATTAAAAGTCAGACCTTCTCGTAACCATAAAGCGAGATGATAGTTCTGTCAGTTTTCTGATTCTTCTTAAGCTTCTTATGTACCCAATGTGTTTCTAGTTCCAGGCTTAGATCTCTTGTAAAGATGTAATTTTAAAAATTGGTTTGCTATGGACATTTAAAAAAAAAAAGATTTATTTATTTATTTATTTGACAGAGAGAGAGAGAGAGAGATCACAAGTAGGCAGAGAGGCAGGCAGAGAGAGGGGGTGGGAAGCAGGCTCCCCACTGAGCAGAGAGCCCAATGTGGGGCCCGATCCTAGGACCCTGGGATCATGACCTGAGCCGAAGGCAGAGGCTTTAACCCATTGAGCCACTCGGGTGCCCCTGCTATGGACATTTTTAAACATTCACTAAAGCAGAGGGAATAATTAAGTGAACTTCCTACACTGATCACCAGCTTCAGCAACTCCTGACTCAGCCAGCCTTGTTCAGCTGGACCCCTGCCCATTCCTGTGCTCCCATGTTCTTTTTCCCTGAATAGTCTTTTGAAGTAAATCTCAGTTATTAAATCATGAATACATAATTTTTTATTGTCATCATGCTTTGGTTGGACAACCTCAGAGTTTCATGACTTAGACTCTCTTTATCACAGATCTACCATATTTTCATGGTAATAAAGACCTGTATTGGTAACTTTATCCTTTTTTAAGTCATTGATTTTTTTGATATTGATATATTTTTAACATACTATAAAGTTAACCCATTTTAAAGTTCACAATTCAGTGGCATTTAGTACATTCCCAATATTCATTTTGTTTGTTTGTTTATTTTTGTTTTTGTTTGTTATGTCCTTTGGATTTAGGGAATGCTATAAAAAATAGACAATTGCCAATGGAATTGCCAACTTTCAAAGATGAAGTAGGTCTGACAATTGCAATTTGAAATACATATAATGAATTCTATGTGACATCTATATAACATATATATAATATCTCTTTTGATTTTTCTCCCACCCATTTTGAATAGGGTTAAATAATTTTCTAGAACCATTTTGTGTATATGCTTAACAGTTCATCTTAAACAGACCACTGTTTGCTGGGTGGTGGGTAATAAATACAAAACTAGCTAAATTCTTAAAAGCAGGGAGAAGTCCACAGTAGAATACAGTTGGAGTAATGCATCCTGGTACTGTGGTGATGGTCTTGAAAAACTAAAGTGTTTTCAGGCCTACAAGACAATTTAGGTAACATTTTAGAAGTCCATCATTTAATATTTCTGGCAGGAGTAAATTACTGGTGCAGCATTTTAATCTATGAGATGGCAGGGTAGGAGAAAATGAGGCTCTGGATGAGTTTTATGGCATGTGTTATGAGTGGCTGAGGTCTCTTTTGCAACAACTGTCTAGAAAAATGTTGGATGGGGTCCAGTGTTTATACTAATATTTGGCTATAGGAATCATTTTTGTCCTGATTTTTCCATTGGGTCAATATTAAAATGCTCAGGAATACAAACCTCAAGTATTTAAATTAAAATCAGAAAATCCCTAATGTTCTTTGTCCTTTTAAGATTCCCAGTGGTGAGAAGAATCAAAGCGTGTGTTCTGGGTGGGTATTTAGAAGGTGGACCTTTTAAGACATTTGTCTCTCTAACGTTTTCTTTTGGAAATATACCTCACAGATTCGTTAGGTGAGCTCAAACAGCTATAAATGAAAATGACCTTAGTAGAGATGTATCTTTATTATTATGCCTTTGGATTTATTTCTCAGCTTTGTTGATAAGCATAGGTACAACTCTATCAAAGCTACAGCCAGTTTGTATGTACCATGTTGTGCACTGCTTTTTCTGTTTAAACATTACATTCATCACGTCCATATCAGTAAATATTATGTTTCCTTGTATAAGGAGTCCACATGCTTGCCTGAAAGGCATTCTGCCCTATTTCTATGTTAGCGTCAGTTATAAACCTGTCGGACACATGGGCTTCTGTATTTTGACTGTTATGAATTACGTATTTAGAAGTATTTAGAATCAAGAAGCATATAGAATCAAGTAGAGATTGTTTTGAAATGCTAATTAACATCAGTTTATAAAGAAGATAAATTAGTTGATAAGAATTGTACAATGACAAAGAGTTCTGGGTATAGCAACAGATCATTTGAGTCTTGGTCAACATCCAATGAGAGTGGCCCATCATCCCTGCTTCTCAACACGTCCCAGCACTGACTTTTGGCTTCACAAATTTGGCTTGTAATTAGCCTATGTGTTGTTCATTTTCTACTTGCTGTCTGTCTCCCCACTGTGGATAGTTGTATGAAGACATGGGTCTTATCCGTCTCATTCACCCAGTGTCTGCAGAAACAGTGTGCCTGATACACATCTGTTGTTGACTGTGAAGTGAATTTGGCAGCCAATAAGAAATGTCCTAGGTCCTAGGAATGGCCTAGGTCCTCGGCGTTTCTTTTTTACTTCTGTCTTAAATCTCTCTCACTAGTTTCTGTCCTCTACAACATTGTAGTCTTCCCCTTTTTACTTCAGGGTGGTTAGGGAGTGTAAGGGTGGGGGAGGTTGGGAGGGGGTGGGTGGTCTTTTCAGGGCCCTCTGAGAGGCACGTTGTCCTCGTTTTGCATTGTTGGGGGCACACTTCATCTAGAACACTTGAATGCTTCCTTTTGAGGACTGTTTATATTGGTGCTGCTTCTTTTGTGATTGTTTCAGTGATTACATTTGGTTTTATACTGGTGTGCACAAAGAAGGCTCAGCCTGACCCAATTCCTTCAAATTCAAGTTTTTGTGGAAACTCGGAGTTGGAAGTGTTCATTTACTGGATCCTCTTTGTTATACCGATTAAATACTCATGTGTCCAGGACAAAAATAATAATCTTGGAACATCGTTTGTAAACATTTACAGCTATTTTTGACCATGACTTGGATCGGGCTAGTGTGTGTGTGTGTGTGTGTGTGTGTGTGTGTGTACTTGTGTGTGCGTGTGCCCACATGCATCATTTCAGGCTATGTGTTTTCTATCTAGAACAAACATTTCCCATTTTTTAAAAAAGATTTTATTTATTTATTTGACAGAGAGAGAGATCACAAGTAGGCAGAGAGGCAGGCAGAGAGAGACAGGGAAGCAGGCTCCCTGCTGAGCAGAGAGCCTGATGCGGGGCCTGATGAACTGAGCCAAAGGCAGAGGGTTAACCCACTGAGCTACCAAGGCAACCCCATTTTCATCTTTAAAGAACGTTCTTATTTCTTCGAGTTACCTCCTTTTTCATTCTAATGAAATGGTTTATAAATTTCTAGATATTATAGACTCTGTGCTGGGAGTGACTTCAAAGAATGTCTTGTCTTGTCTAGTCACCTCAGTTCAAACATCGAATTGTCTTAGTAAGATGTTTTTCTCTGGTGGTCCATTGGGTAAGAATTCCCACCGTGAAAGTTTAGTCAGACTTTCTGCCTATAATTTTGGTTGCTTATGAAGTGGTCATTTGAGCTGTTTTTCTTGTCAGTTTAGAAGAGTTGAGGGGAATATAACCTGAAGGTTGGTTAAGATGGCTTTATTCTTTAGCATCAAGAATGAAGGTACTTCCTTGGTGATGTTCCTGGGTCACATATGTGGTTTGTTCTCAACTATGGGCCATGTCTGCTTCTCCCTCTCCCTCTGCCTGCTGCTCCCCTTGCTTCTGCTCTCTCTCTCGCTTTCAAATAAGTAAATAAAATATTAACAAAACCTGTAAACTGTAAAATGGGATCTAAGGTCCGCACCTCAGACTGAGAATAGGAGAGGTAAATGGACTGGATATAAGAAAAGGATCCATCAGTTTCTCTTCTAACGTTAAGATTATGGAATTTAGGGTAAAACTTCATTACCCGAAAAGAGACTAAAAAATGGTTTCTGTAAGGTCTACAGACATTCCATCGTCTCACCTAACTGTCCAAACAGGCTAGGCTGGCAAAGATGGTTCTGCTCTACGAAGTCATTTGGGGATCCAGGTCTTTCCATCTTACTGTGCCTTGAAGGGAGACTCATGGATCACCCAGACACTGTCAAGAGATCAGGGAATTACCCCTACTTGATAGTCAGAATTACTTGTAGGTGGTTAGCTGCGAGAAAGATGGTGGCCCTTTCATTTCTGATGGCATGAAGACCAGGAGGGGTCAGAAGACCTGTGGGCAGTTTAAGGATCTCTGCATTTATAAGACGAGCTCTGAAGCTCTGGCTTTGTGCATTCTGGTTCTTCTAAGTATACTTCCTGGTTGTCAAAAGTTTGGAATGAGCCTTGGTTTGAGAGTTCAAGAAATCTGCATTTTAATGCTGACACATAACCCCTAGTTATCGATGACCTTGGGGAAGTCTCTTGGGTTCTTTATCCACAAAATGATGAACTTACATCAGAGCAGTCTTCTAAGAGTCCTTTCACTCTCATTGTGTAGGTTTCTAGAAACCTCGTTAGTTACCCAGAGGGCGTTTTAACTTTAAATGGACAGTTTTAACATAAGCTCCCTGTGTATAAATACTATCATTGTTTCTTAAGATTTTTTAAGGTATAAAAATAGATGGCTGTTCTTCGTCTTCAGAATAGTTAATAACACTCTGTTGCACGCATATAATGTTTGAGAGTTTATATCGTTAGTCATGTGGCTTATATGGCAGGCATTTTTCCTATTTTATAGCTAAGGGACCAGTGGCTCAGGAGTGAACCAGCTTGTCCGGTTGACAAACACATGAACTATTATTAGAAAGAACTGGGGATGTTGACTCCCAGTCCAGTGCTCCTTTCCTGGTACCATTCCTCCACCTCCTCCATTAGCAAATTGCTAGGTACTTCTCTGTGCCCAACAATGTGTGAATGTGTGTATGTATGTGTGCAATTTAAATTAATTATTTTTGTAT